GCGCCGCCGCCCAGTCAGCCCTGCTCTCTCGGTCTTGTCTTTCTGCAGCCTGTACCCGCACATGTTCTCGAGAGCCTACATCAACTTCAAAAACCAGGAAGACATAGTCCTCTTCAGGGATCGCTTCGATGGCTATGTTTTTGTCGATCACAAAGGCAAGTGAGCGGCGCTCGGCTGTGTGTTCACATCTTTCCTGGCGTGCGTGCAGTGTGCTCGTTGAATTTGAGAGGGACAGGTGTGAGCAGCCTGACGTGCCGCTTCTGATTTGTTTGGTTTTAGTGCCTTAAGTGAATGTCATGCAGTATTTCAGAGAAAACGTCTTGTGCTTTCTGGAAACTAGTCTAAATTGATTTTGTATATTTCTAAATTGATTTTGTATATTATGTGCAAAACCCAGTGAAGTGTACATCGAGGTAGCGGTGGTATCAATATAAAACCAGTTGCTGTGTTACTGAGGTTAATACTTGCATTGTCATACCTGAGTATAAAGTCTGAAAAGTGAAAGTGAGCAGGTGGTGTCACTGTCCAAACTAAATGAAGCTGAGATTAATGATGCCGCCCTCTGCTACTCCCCTTGCCTGTTCTGTACACTTCTAACAGTGTGACTTATTTTTTGGTCAGTTTTTAATTCAGATTATTACTTGTTCCAATTTACAATTGAGTGAGTCATCTTGATTCAGTAAAAGGAACAGCTTGTTCCTTGTAGTCTTAGTTGTGAGAGTGACTGCTCTCTGAAGGCATTAATCTGTAAGAAACAAATATTTTGTTTAATTCAGTGGTTAAACATCCAAGTATTTAGTTGCCACTTACCTTTTTTCTAAATACATATTAGGTATTCAGTACATCTCATGTTTTTAAATCTTGCATTTCAAAATGCTTATGTTGGGTAGCACTAAAAGCTATTAGTCTCTCATTGATAGACCTTAAATTTACATATTTAGCAAAAGCTTTAACAAGAGTCTTCCTGTTGGCTTCAATAGGCTAAGGATTTCACCTTGAACTTTGTTTCAAGTACACGTGTTTTACGTTTCATCCAGCCAGGTGTTTTATGTGACACAAAGCTCTGTCCACAAGATTATTCCTTATTTAGGAGGGTTGCATGACAAGGTTCTTACAACATCTAGATAAGCTGGTTTGCAGTGTAACAGCACACTGTATTTGCCATACCCAACAGCAGTATTGCATTTATGCAGCCATAAATGTAGCATTCTTGTCAGAAGATAAAACTTTAAAGCCTGCCTGTAATGTGTTGCATTTTATTGTATTTTGCCAAAAATTGAAATTTGCCTCAGTTGCATTAGCTTAAAATATCCTCTTCTACCTGCACAATGAACGCATAGTCTGTAGGATGAGGGTGTGGTGTCGTGTAGCTGAGGGGGCTGAACTGACAGTTATGGGCAGTCTTAAATCTAGTATTTCCTTCTTGTTGTGAGTCTGTGAATTTACTGCTTAGTGAGAGTGTTTAGTTCATGAATTCTGCTGTCTCTAAAATGTTTTTTTTATTAAACGGCTTTCAAAACACAAGAATTTTTTTATGCTGTCCAAGTAGTCTCTTTTAGTATTGCATATTTCTTGTGGGGCTTATCTTCCTGCTTTAGACATGGACAATATACTCTATTTTATATCTGTTTCATCTCTATTTTAATGTATGTTTCCCTCTCCTCTTAACAGGTCAGGAATATGCTGCCATAGTTGAGTTTGCACCTTTCCAGAAAGCTGCAAAAAAGAAGAGTAAGAAAAAGGACGCCAAAACTGGAACTATCGAAGATGGTATAACAGCTAGCTAGTTTGTTTTGCATGTGTAGACTTGAAAGTCCTAGCAGTAATTTGAATTTAATGTTTTTACTGTGACACTGTAGCTTATCAATAGAATGTTTGCTTAATTATATGCGAAGCTTATTAGCACTGCTTTGTCAGGTGCAAATCTATTAAATGTGATTGTCTTAGACAAACATAATGCAGCAGCTCATTTGAGGGCTGCCGGCTTACGAAAAGGTGACATATAAACAACACAATTTATGCAAATCTAACCCAGACTTCCAGCAGTGCACAATGCAAATTCTTTTCATGCTACAGTATATCTTTTTTTTTCCTTTTTTTTTCCTTTTTTTTTTTTCCCCCCCTTTACCCTCCCCTGTAGATCCAGAATACAAGAAGTTTTTGGAAAGTTACAGTGCAGATGATGAAAAATTAACCTCCACTCCTGAAACTTTGTTGGAGGAAATAGAGGCAAGAAACAAAGAGCTAATAGGTATGGAAATCTATGTACTATAGTTATATTTTCCTAGAGCACAAAGAAATGAATGTAGTGTAATTTGAAGCTGTGATTTCTCAACCTTGAGGAGACTGAATTCTTTTGTGTGCTTGCTTGGTATTTGTTAAACCTTTAGGCTAATGTTATTCAGTATATTTTATTTTGCTCCCATGCTTTAAATTCTTCTCTAGGTTTAAGTTTTATATGATAACTTCACTTCCTGTTTTAAGCTGCTAGTCAGATGTTTGTTAGCCAGACTAGGCTGTGGAGTGGCTGCATTTCAGTGAGATGCAGTGATGTTTAATGCAAAATGCTGTGAGCAGTGATGTTCCATGCAGGCATAAGTTAAGAGATATTGTGGTTGGGTAAAATACCACAAAAATGACCAGAAGACTCTTTTTCAGCACGTTATAGGTATCCCTTTCAAAGCGAGAGGATCTGGGAAAAGCCTAATGCAGACTGAATACCCTTTTACAGATGGGTGTACTGGGTATCATATTAGTGTCCTGAAGAAGTTTATAGAGTCCTAATAGTTGCCACTGTTCAGGGATAGGATTGGAATACTTGTTTCACTGCTGTATTGCTGTATGTGAGAGGAGATAGGCTGGATAATCCATAAAGCTTCCTCATTTCACACAGGGTTTTGTTGTAGGTATTGCAGTATTGGATGAGGCAAATTGTTTACCTTTGTTTTTATATGTTTTCTAGCTAAAAAGACTACTCCTTTATTGAACTTCCTGAAAAATAAGCAGGTAAGACTTATCTCCAGAATCTTCTTGTGGCTTGCAAGTACAACTTGCTCATTTAAAGCATGGGTGTGTATATTGCAATGTGTATATTGATATGTTTCTGTCCTTTCTTTTGAAGAAGCAGCTTTTGACCCAACTTTCTTGTTAACATCTGGTTCACATATTTTAAACTACTAGAACACTGGCCTTTGTAGGAATGGTGGTGCTTTATGTGCGTTCTGGTCACAGCTAAACATCTCTGTGGCACTGCCAAACCAGATTGCATTTTAATGCAGTTATGGCTGAGATCCTTGTAGATGATCTTTCTCTTAGCGCATAATCTCATTTTAACCTTTAGCAAAGGAGAAAATGTGGCAGATTTAATTAAAATTAGAACAATAAAGGCTGAGGCTAGTGTTGTGTTTAGTTTTTTTAAGACAGTACAAATCAAGGCTTATGAGTGAAGAAAAAAATGAAATGCTGCTGTAACGTGTTCAGGTTCACAGCAGAACAATAGAGATGACGGGACCTTTTTTTTTTATAATAGGGGCGGTTTTAAGGTGAGTTATTTAGAGATGAAAAACTTTATCACTTTGTGGCAGGGTATTATGTTGGGCTTAAGGGGATGTTTTCTAGTGTGGAAATACACTATTTCTCTTTGCTTTTACACACACAGAGACTGAGAGAAGAAAAAAGAGAGGAGAGAAGGAGGAGAGAATTGGAAAGAAAAAGACAAAGAGAAGAAGAAAGAAGGAAATGGAAAGAGGAGGAGAGAAGGAAGAGAAAAGAAGCAGAAAAGCTGAAGAAAGTAGACAGATGCCCAGAAAAAGAAAGAGACAGATCAAAAGAAGAACCAAAGATTAAGGTCTAGAACAGTTCTTTATTATAAACTGTTACACTCCCTTTCCCCTATTATTTGTATATCAGTCTCAAAATGTGTTTTGAGTATTGTGTGAAGAATCACATGAGTTTGATGTTAGTAAATTACCACTTTTTTGTAATATTCAATATTAGGCATTGTAAAGGTTTACACGCTGTAATGCTTCATAGTAATATTTAAAGCTTTTGTCATGTGACTGTTGTACATGCTGTGGTAAACAGAATCGTGAATTCACTATGGAATGGAGACTATTTTTAAGCTTTCTAAAATGGCCTGTTTTAGGAGAAAAATCCTAGTCTGCTATGTGGATTATGCTTACTCATACACTCCAGCTTTTAGAAATACTACGATTTGCAGTAACGTTACTTTAATGTTTATTTCTTACTGGACTACGGTTCCTTTGATGCAATTTCGGTGTTGTGCCAGACAATATGTATTAGAGTGAGCTTTTTAGTTGAGACTTCTGTTTTCTTTGTAGCTACTTAAGAAGCCTGAAAAAGATGAAAAAGACTTGGAGAAAAAAGAAAAATCCAAGAAACTGGAAAGAGAGACTCTGAGGGAGGAAAAAAATGCGAGTAGTGCATCTGCCAAACGATCTGATGGGGAGACAAAAGAAGAGAAGGCAAAAAAGTATTCTAGTACTTGCTATAAATATATATATGTATTTATGCCTTGTTTCCTGATCGTACTGAGGCTTAGGCTGCTTGGCCATGATCATGTTTTGAAATTCCTTTCAAATTATTTTTCTGATATAAGGCATGGGATGTGTTCTCTGTGGCAGTGCACATCCCTGTGATTACAGAAAGCTGTGTGAATTACCTGATGATTCTTCACTAGTGGACAAATTTTAATATTTTTGCAACTCACTGTAGGAACTCTGCAAAAGAAGCCGGGGTGTAGGTGACCTACAACAGGCTGTGAGCACTGTCCTTGCAATGAGAGAATTCTAACCATGGCAAGAGGAGAGGTGTACTCCAGTTGCTAGTCCCTTTAAGTCTCGTAAAAGGTCAAAGTGGAAAGTGTCATTCTCAAGAGCTCCGTAATCTGTGCAAGGTTCAGTTCTGCCATGTGAGAAGCAGAGATGAGACAGAGAAATTTAGGTGTTTTCCAAAGCCAGAGGAGACTCAGCCAGCTATGTGAGTGGAAGGCTAGGAGATGCTAACAGTCAGTGTCATCTCTGGTTATCATGCATGACTCAGCTTCCCAAAAGCTCCCTAGAACCTACCAGTCTGTCTTCTTCATATTGCAAATTTACACCAGTATTACATTGATCTCCCAGCTCTGTCTGATGAATCTTTTGAGCTTAATTTTCAGTTTTGTTTTCGTACAGATCAGAAGATGAGTGTGTAAAGGACTACAGGGACCGAGATAGAGATTTTGAAAGAGACAGAGAATATGAGAGAGCACAGAGGGAGAAACTGAGACGCCAAGAAGAGGAGCGACGGAGGCAGAAAGAGCGCTTTGAGAAAGAGAAGGTTTTTAGAAGAAAAGAGGAAGAGGTGAAAAAGGAGAGAGACTTACTCAGAGAAAAGGGAAAGAAAAGTGATCTTACAGACTTCATCAGCAGCACGGACAAATCTGAGAAAGTAACCAAAGACGATAAAAAAGAGGATACAATTAAGAGGGATCGTATCAGAAACAAGGTGCTGGATTTCTTTAAATTCATGTGTTGATTCATAGGACCAGTTTGTGGGTTTTAGGATAAAAGCACTTTAAGGAAAGAACCGTGTGGTTTCTCTGTTGAAACTTCTCCCTCTTCTGGTGACAAACTCTGCCATTGCTAGAAAGCTTGCCCGTTTGTCCACTAAGCTTTGCTAAACTGTGATATTTCTTGTCACTGTATAGGAATTAAGCCAAGATACCATGGGCTAAATTGTAAAGGCAGGGATCCCTTTCCATTTGCTGACTTACATTATAAGGTGTCGGTAGAGCATCAGTAGTCGACCTGTATCTCTGCTGATGCTATACGTGCCTGAAAATACATCTGGAAGTGGGAGAGCGATTGAACAGGTTCCTCCAAAACAGGGACAAGACTGCTGCATGCAGAACATGACAGAAGATCTCCTGTAGACTCAAGAAATAATTTCTTGAGCTTAGTTTTATATACTCTGCAAATCTGGTTTTGCAGCATCAGTATGCAGGTTTTCCATGTCACTTAAAGCATTATTGAGGACAAATGAAACTCAAGGTTTTGAGCAAGCCTTGAAGTGGGCCTCTTCTGGGAGAGGGTGAGCTGAACTCATCTCAAGAGGAAGCTCTTTGCAGATAACTCAGAGGAAACTCTTTACAAATAACTTCAACTCTGTGGCTTGAACAGGGATGTTGCGTTACAACAGAGGCAACCTTGATTTGAGACAGTGGAAGTTACGTTGCCACCATGGTGGAATAATTTAACTTAGAACAACTTGAGGAGTTTGAATTTGAGCCATTTCTAGTATCACTGATGCCATAATAACCATGATAGCGTGGGGCTGTGAAAGAGTCTAAATAGTTCTGATTTATTTCAGGATCGTCCAGCAATGCAGCTGTACCAGCCAGGAGCCCGAAGCCGAAGCAGATTGTGTCAGTATGAAGACAGTGCTGCAAAGCCCACAGATCAGGGAGCGGATAAGAAACAAGACAGTGAGACCAGTAATGCGAAGGAAGAGGAGTGACTAGCATGCAAGCCTTATGTGTTCTGACTGTCTGTGCAGCCAAAGAGCATGTACTACGCAATCCAGAAGTGCCTTCGAAGCGAAGAAGGAACAAAGGAAGAAAAGGGGGCATTGTGCTGTTGGATGTTTCTGGTTAAAGAACCTCAGTTGTAGATTCGGAATTTGAAATGTGTTCTCATTGTATTTTCAGTTATTTGAATTTATTTTCCCAGCATCTAACTACAACGGAGAAGAGAATCTTTGCGAAGTAGAAAGACTTTATGGCCTTAAGTATGATAATAAATGAGTCATGCGGTCAGGAGGAGATGACACCTGGATCTAAAGCCAGAGCTTTACCGTAAAGCGCTCGGAGCCAGTGTTTGATGCACTTAAGCAGAGCAAGCTTGAAGTTGCCTGGAGTTAACGCAGCTGTTGCTATGTTGTGTGGTGCTCCTGCCTGAGGTGATGATAGCTAAATTATGTCAGTCTAGCACTGAAACAGGTACGCAGGCGGGGGTTGTTGAGGTACCAGCGAACAGGAGCCTCTGGCACATAGAGGAGAACGTCTGGCGTTGAGTAATGGTGTCGGGGAGGGAGAGACCTTCCTCTGCAGTGGTTCTCTGGATAAAGTAACTAAGTTGGAGTGTATGAATAAGCTGGCTTAATATTGGAATACTTCTTGACAAATTCTCATGTAAAGTCTACCGACATTGAAATGCTTGTTTTTAATCAAATGTAGCGGGTTTGAGCATCCTGTTCTTTTCCAGCATTCTCCCTTCTTCAGAGTCTGAAACGTTTCCTAACTCCTGCCCTCTCGGTACTGCTTCACCTTCCCTCATGACTTGAAGTATTGTTTTACAGCCCAGAAAGAGACTTCACCAGTAGCAGCTCCTCCTAAGCTAGCGAATTTTAGCCATAGCTATTTTGTACTAAAACCAATAAACTGGCAGAAACTCGTGCCGCCGCCGACCCTCACTGAGCTCCGTCTGCGCCGGGGCGGGCCCGCCGGGCCGCCAG